ATATGCTACCATTGGTATATATTAGTTGGGAATTTATACCTTAACATTGATGGATAATGCAAGTCTCAATTATTGAAAGAAGTGAAAATATGGAAATTGTTCATATTTTCACATTTACTCTATTGTAAGTTGTGCTGCTATTTTTCTATTTGGCAGATGTTTGATAGCAGCTAGTCCTCACTTACCAACCACAATTGGAAATGGCAATTCTTGTTTTAAGTGATACAGACATAAACTTAAAACAGCAAGTGACAATTATGATGTCAATTATGACATCAGTTCCTGCTGCAGTCATTAAGTGAATCATCCATGGTCAGGGTTGTCGAACTGGTGGATGCATCAGATGCAGGCCACGCCCACCAAAGTTCCGCAAATGGGGAAAACATCACAAAACATCACGAGATGGCAACATGACGCTGCAAGTTTGACACCCATGCCCAAGGTCATTAAACACCGTATCATATAACTGTGACTTGAGATTTCCTGCCAGCTTTCCCACTAACTCTGCTTGTTGGAAATCAGCTGTGAAGATTGCAAACTGCAATCAAATGACAGCAGGGTGCTGCAAATGTCATAAATGTGCACTAGATGCCAAGCAACCAAATTGCAATCACATGACTGCAGGGATGCTGTAATGGCCACAACTTTGAGGACCAACTGTAAGGGTATTTTTAAATACCACTGTAACTTTGAATGGTTGCTGAATGAGCACTCACTAAGTGAGGACAACTTGTATTACACTAAAAGTAAAGTCCTTTTAAAAATGGAAATTGTGTTTCACAGTTTGAGACAAACTGCTTAATTTTATTGATACCCTGTTCCTTTCTGTATCATTAGTAAATAACAGCCTGGGATGTTGTGCAAGCTGAATATGAATCTGGCAGTTGTTCTTAATTAATGAAGCAAAAAAGCCCCAAGCTCCACTTGTCATATTGCTATTTACTGAACCAAAGGGCAAAGTCAAAAAAGTATTACGTTTACAATCAGCACATCAGTTGGAAATTTACATGACAACTCCAATATCACCTAAAATGCACTGTGAACTTATCAAATCATATTTCACTTCTCCCTTTTGGTTAAACAGCAGCTTACAATCAAAGCAAAACAGCTAACCAACCCACAAAGCAGGTAATGAACTCAAGTAGGAACAAAAACAATCAAAACAGCGATCTCAGAAACTATTTTTTCATTAATCAGTTAATTGTACTTAGGCTAAAGTGATCAATGCTTCACTCTGAAATTTGGGTGAAATTTACTATATTTATTATATGTAGAACATCTTACTGGTTTGTGCTAACAGCATAATCCATACTCTTAAAAAGTCACCATAACTTTTCTAACTTTTTTTTAAAAAAGAGAAATCTAATACCTGTAATAGTTTCATAAAAGATAGACCTAAAAAAACCCCGAACTCTTCCCCACCACAAAAAAGGGGTCTTGTCCTCACTTGACTGTAAATTGGACATGGTTTCCTAAATATTTGTGCAAAAGACCTTTCTTTTGTTAAAGTCTACAAATGAGATATTAACCAGAAAGTCATCCAGTTAATCCAAACAAACCCAAGCAAAATAACAACAGGGCAAATAATCTGGTATAGTAGGATAAAAGCAACAAGAAATATTTGAAACGAAATTTCCATGTATTCTGTTATCCTTGTTTTCAATATGCCTCCAGCACAGGATAATCTAAACGTCATAAAGGCACGCAATTCCCTTAATCCCCAGTCAGCATGTTCGCTGAGGAATATGGGAATTGAAATACAAGGAGGGAACTAGAATGCTCCATTAGGTCAACCAGATGCCTTGTGAAGAATGCAGGGATTTCGGATAATTCTCATGAAAAACCACTTTATTCTCCCCGTGATAAATAGCCCTGCAACTCTGCTTATTTAGTATTAGTTTATAAACCACATTTAACCCGGAATATTCCACCAGCCCCTTTCTAAGTGAAGGGATGGGTCCCAGCTCTGGGTATATCTCGATAAATGATAGCATAAAAAGAAAAGAGAGAGGCCCATTCGCCCCTTTTCTGCTTTTTCCGTTGACAAATCCTCCTCCTATCCATACTCATGGCCCAATTGCTAACTAGCCCCCTAAATTCAATCCAGGCAATGCTGTCACCCGATATTCACCGTCATCGCTCCTCCAGAGTCTGAGAGACGTTTCCACCTGCAGCTTACGCCCCTACTCCACGCCGCCGGTTCTCCCACAATGCATTTAAAATAAAGATGGAGCCGGCTCCTTCGCAAAGACTTTTGGGATGTTGAGTTTGCGCAGAGCTAACACAGCGCACCGTACCTACCGGCTGAACTACAATTCGCTACAAACCAAGCGTTACTTAACAGCGCTTGCCGCGTGGGATCCCCCTCCCACAAACCGCGAGGTCCTGGAATTACTACGTTTCCCATAATGCACCGAGAGGATGAAACCTATCGATGCTCACCAATAGGAGTATCCAAATCTTAAATTTTAGTCTTTCTGATACCGTGTTAATGTATTTGATGTCATAAGCGAAGCGGGAGGAATAAAGGTGAAATAACTTGTATACTTTTTCAGAAGCTGTTGCAAATGTAATCAATGTTGATTGCATTCTTTTAATTGTTTTTAATTACTTTTCTTCCTACTGAAAAAAATGCCTTCCAACCGTATTGTAAATATAACTAATTATAATTTGGATATTCAAGATGGTTGGATTATATGAGCACTATCATTTAGGACTGCCAAAGGAATGCATTTTGCAGGAGCAAAAACAAGTTGCATGCACTTTAGTCCTATGTGAGGCTCACTGATATTTGTTTCTGAAAGTTTGCTGAGTATAAAAAGTTGTGATATATCCAAGAAACTTTTCAGTGCCATTTGATGTTCAATTTGATGTCATCATATTGCAATGTTTCTCAAAGTGAAAAAGAATTCCAAGAGATAAGGAGTTCTTTTATTTAAAATAATTTTCCTCTAAACCTTGCACATACTCTGAGGAAGTAGAAGATGGCTTTTTTTACATTTATACTTATATGCGGTTAAAAATTCAAAATTAGGAAATACCATTGAAATCAGTATTTACTACTACTACTACTTTTTTTTTGCTATACTGAACATATACAATATGCACAGGGATTCAAAGCACTAACAAAATTAGACTTATCTTGTGCAGTAATAATGCAGCAATAGCATTCAAAATATGACAGGAAGTGCCATTTTAGTTTCTAAACCCAGATCATCTATCATTGATAAGCATTTCGGAAACTAAAATAGTTCAGAGGTTCATTTGTCATTCATCACAAGTATCAACACTGAAAATCCCTTTTGTGAAAAATCCCTTCCAAAGATGCCTTAGGTAAGCAATAGGTCTGTCTTTAGTTTATTGTTTACTGGAATTACATTCTTTAGCTACTGTACATTCATAAATTCACTATCTTGCAATAAACTGTAATGATGAATATAAACCTTAGACATATCCAAGCCTATAGAAAGCAAATACCCAATTTTAAATAATATTAAGATACAAGAGATGACTGGAAATTTTAATATATGTTCCAAGAGTTTACAGAAGAGATGATAGATATATTCATTTAAAATTCCTTGATCCATAGGAGAAATTTAAAACACAAGGAAACTAATAAATGATGTCAGAAATAAAGAATTTTTTGAAGTTTTGTTCTTTAGCTTCATGAAACAATAAACATTCTTACTGAAAATATGCTTTAATATTTTACATATAACTTGCTAAATGAGCTCCTAAAAATTAAATTTAGGTGTTATATTACTATTTTTGCTGCATCACTTTATTTTCCAACTCTAATTTCGAAATGGTTGCCATTCAATCTAGTCAAGATCAAGTGACTAGATCTGATTTCTGTCCATTTGGCTCACTTGATAAATGAATGAAAATAAAATTATTCTGCCTTATTTTGCTTTGAACATTTTGTTAAATAACATTACTAAAACCTGCACTGTGTAGTAAAAATTAGTATGGCTTATCATATAAACTGTATCCATAAATATTAGAAATAGCATAAATAGGAAGGGTCAAATGCAGTGTTTTTGTATACAATTTCCAGTTGTTGATGTTAACTTCATTATAGCCATTAACTAAAAGAATTTACAGATATTGTATTTCTCGGCATTTTATCCCTAGAACTCAGTAGATTGGGCTAAGTAAGAGTGACTGGCCTAATTCATTGGATATCCATGGCTTAAAGAAGATTTAAACTTGCTTCCCCCATCCTGTTTCAAAACTTTAAACCATTATACCACACTGGCTTTTCTGTCCATGTGTAGGTAAACACTGTACATGATGAGTTGTGTAAAAAAGAATATAACTTTATTATGGTCTTAGACGAGCAATAGATATCACTATTTACAAATTATAAAAAAAATTACTGACACACTATAATACATTAATAGTGAATAAAAACATCCCTGTTTAAAATGTACCCTCTTAACAATTTAGTTTGGCTCTGTATTATACACATATACATGAAGAGAATAGTTCGCGAAACCGTTACATCATTTTCTCTGATGCCAACATCAATCACCATGCATTTGCTGAAAACAGTGGGAAAAAATTCGCCCTTAGGGAATTAACACGACGCCGTGCATAGGACGCAGATCACTTCCGACTCGATCTATGCCCGATTAACGTGCGTTGTACGTAGGAATGTATTCGGCAAAAGCTCGGAAACACTTTTTACGCTGCGTGGTTTCCCGTATTCCAACCACCCGCGCTTTAGCAGCGCCTCTTCTAAATTACGAGCTCTCTTCACAAAGATTTCAATGCTTGTTGGCTCGACCTAGCCTGCTGAGGCCTCCCACCGGTGTCACCCCCTCCACCTCACCTCCCTTGCTACCGTACTTCCAGCACCTTTCGGATTGGTTCCCTTCGCTCGGGGGCGCTGTCGCGCGATTGGCCGGCTTTCCCCGAGGCTCCGTCGTCCGATTGGCTCCGCCGCGAAACCGGGTGCCCGCCCCTTCTCCGATACCCAGCACGTTGCGTTGCGCCTTCTCCGTTTAGGTAGTTCCTGGTCTGACTTAGGCCCAGGCTCGGCGAAGCGGGGGAGGGGCGAGAGTTAGTGGTGCTGCTGTTGCTGCTGGCGAGTGACTACTTGGGCGAGAGAGGGAAGAAGGAACCGGAGTCAACGCGGGGGGGGGGAGGGGAGGCGGAATGTTACCCGAAGTGTAACTGCAGCACCGCCGCCGCCACCACGACCCTCCTCGCCATGATCATAGAGAACGTGGACGCGCTCAAGTCCTGGCTGGCCAAGTTGTTGGAGCCGATGTGAGTGCGGGAGAGCCGCCAAGGGACTGGTGGGCGGCCGGGAGCCCGGGCAGGGGAGCGCAGGGTGAGGGGACTCCTGGGACCTTTAGGCGGAGATTATGGGGCTTAACCCGGGAAAGAAGGGTGGGCTGGCTTGGGAAAGGGCCCGCAAGGGATGCGTGGATCTTGACCCAAGGGAAGAAGGGCGCGGGGTCCTGCCAGTGGCATGGAGGGTCTCCCCGCCTAGATTCCGAGCAAGGTATTGTAGTAACAGGTACAAAATAAACTGGGAACCGGGAGGGTGTGTGTGAGAGCGAGACATGTGAGGATGAAGGGGGTAATGAAGCGCCTGAGTCCTGCTCGCCTACTTAGTTCCCAAAACGTCCCGATCGTGGTTTGAGAGTATTGCGGAGAATGAGGGTTTGTCAGAGGGTTTGCCTCCTGTTCAGAGGCGCTGCGTGGAAGTAAAAAAACAACCAACAACAACCGTTTATTTAGGGCAGTGGATCATATACTATAACAATTCGGAGAAGAAATGAAACCATTGCCCATCCTTCGCTCGAACCCGTTCTGTAAATTTGGGTTTGAGTTGAGTACTAAAAAAGGGGGGGGGGCGATTTTAGAAGAAAGAGCACCTCGCTAGAATAATGAAATTTGTTTTTTAACCAAGTTAGATGTTATTGGTAAACTAGTATAATACTAAGAGGCTTTTCTGGATTTTTTTATGCAAGCACATCGTCTATAACAATGTGACACACAACAATTTCTGACCCACTTAACTTTTGAATCCTGAAAGTTTTGTTTTACTTCCTTCAACACAAAATTCGTACCTTATAGCGGTTATATCTTTCAGGACATTCATTAGGAATTTTTAGAATACAACTTTGTATCTTCTGTTTACTGTGTCAGTTGTTTTGACAGAGGAAAATATTTTATTGAATAGCTGTGTTGTACTATAATTGCATATATATTTATAGTTACTTATACTATAAACCACTTAGTTTTTTCAAAGTGACACTTAAAAAAAATTGAAGTGTACATTTTACAATGAAGAATACTATGCTGCACACATCACATTTAAAATGATGAGTACAAGTTCCAGAGAATATACTTACATTATCTCAATACCTATTTTTTTGTAATTATTAACTTTTCTCTTTGGCCTTGAATACTTAACTATGTTATCCCAAACTTTACAGCCTGTTTTAAGTACTGGTAGTTTTGATGTCTCATGAATTAAGTGCTTAAACTGGAATGCTGATTTGGTTTCCTAAGATAAAAATAAAATGAGGTAGAATAACATTGAATTATTCTGTTGCATAAGCAGTTGGCATTTCTAACTAACCTGGGGAGCCTCAGTTTGAATTTTTATATCATATAAAATCATAGGCTTATGAATGTGTGTCCAAATTTCTAAGCACATTTGAAAGGCTATTTTAGTATTCATAATTTAGTATTGTTTGCTTACAGCTGAATGCAAAAGTTTAGTTACCCATGGCTATTTACATTTCAATGAATCCTTAAGTGAAGAGAATACAACCTGCATATGGTTAACAGTTAAGCACAGCTCCTTGCTCTAAATCTCAGGGCATGTTTGCTATTTGTAAGCAGTTGTTTATAGATTTGAAAAAAAATATGTGGAAAATAAAAATGTCTGGACACTCTTTTAGTCAGCATTTTGTAACATTTATTTCAGCAGAAATATCAACTTCCAAATAAATATTTCCTCTGACCACCCAGAAGTTTTTCTGTTGCTTTTGGATTTTTTTTCCAGACTATTCACTGCAGATATCTTCTAGATTAGCAATCTTTGGGTCTGTTAGCATGAAAGGCATGCTTGAGTTTTCTCTCCACAGATTTTCAGTAATTTTCAACTCTGGGAACTGTACAGACTGTTTCAAATCCTTTATTTCTCTCTCCTATAAGAGCTTCATGATTGATTTGGAAGTATCTTTCATATTGTTGTTCTGCTGAACTATCCAACTTCTTTTCAGCTTCATTTTCTTCACTGGCTGTGGGACATTAGTATGAAGATCAAGACAAATCTCTGCCAAAACTGCCTGGAACTGGACATATCTACAAAACACAATTCACAGATTGCTGCAAATTACCTGCTGAAAAGTTTAGCTAACACTGGAGAAGTTGTCCACAGTACAACATACATTATACAAGAATGTACTGCAAGGGATAGATACAAATAGAAACTTTTTCTCCAACTTCATCACAAAAGTCATCATCTAAGGTACGCAAAAAAACCCTTGAACAGGTCTAAAACATTTTGGAACAAAGGGGTTTGGACTGATGAAATAAAAATTCACAATGTGGTCACAACCATATACACAGCATACATTTGGAGAAAAAGAGTAAAGCATTTGAAGAAAATACTTTAGCTGCCATTAACACAAGATGGCTCTATTATGTTTTGGGATTATGTGGCAGTCAGTGGTAAAAGAAACATTTATACAAGTAAAAGGAGGAATGAATTCAACTTAATATCAGAATATAGAAGCTGATGTCCCACGGTCAGTGAAGAAACTGAAGCCAAAACGGGTTGGCTATTTCAACAAGACAATGATCTGAAACATACAAAAATAATGCTCTAGAATAACCTGAACAGTCCACAGTTACATATTAAAAATCTGGGGGATCTCAAACATGCAAGGAACCCTAAGAATATTGCCTATAAGAGTTCAGTAGAGAAGAGTTGGTGAAAAAATATTTAAAAGCAAGAATAGTCTTATCTGACTATTTGGAAGTTGCTATTTCTGTCAAAGGAAGTATTTACAGAATACTAAACAAAAGAGTGTTCAAATTTCTCATCTATCATTTATTTTCTATTCAGCGAATTATTGAAATATGCACTTTAATTAAGATTTCCTAAAAAATTCTGTTCAATTGTGCACTTAATATACATTACCAAGCAACTGAAGTCCTATGTTTTATTATTCAACAATAGACATCTAGATGAAGATTTTCACACTCAGATATATGGAGTTTTATGTGCTTAGTTGTGACTACAAAGCTTTCTTCTGTAACATGGCTATATTTAATCTTGCAGGACATTATGTAGATCAAATAGATCTCAGTTGGCTGAGTTCATTTAGTTTTTAGTTTACTTTATTGTCATTGCACCTCATACAACAAAATCAAACACCATCTTCAGTGCACATCATGACCATGACCACGAAAATAAACAAAAACACACATCCTTCAGCTTTCACACATTGAACCAGAAACCGCCAACACTGCACTATACAGCAGAATTCAAAAGAGCTACTGCCCTGGGATAGAAGCTGTTTTTCAGCCCATGTAACATATCCAAAGAACTCTAGAGCCATAACATATATCAAGGGGAAACATCTACAAAGAGATACACATCATGAAAAATCTTGACAAATCATAGTGGTTCTTCACTATCTTGCTTCATTCCCTCATGCAATAAACAAGCATAGTTTATAACCCACAATATCTGAATTCATATGTGAACTATAAACTAACCATATCACAGCTTAGTATAATGTATAAATATGACTAATATATAATGCAATATGTGCATTACTTTCAAGACAAGCCATTTTCAATAATCAACTTGAGGTTGTACTATTAAGTTAACGTTGAGAAGAATTGAGTTTACATTATTTCATTCATTAGTTTCAGCAGCATAAAAAGCATAAACAAAACATAGATTGTGTATGTAAACAAGGATCTATCAACACACAATGTACATATTTTAAATCTTCATTTCAAAGTCAACATTATACATGAATATACCAAAAAAAATGTATAAAAAGATTCGTATATTTCATATCTTATAAATTTACGGTTGCTTTAAGCCAAAATATTACTGTACCTAGGGATTTTGAAGTTTGCAATGGGTCTACTTCCTGAATACTGGCCTTAAGATCTATTCCATGCAACTCTACCTGTGACTACATTTGCTTCTGATACTTTACCTGTGACTAACTTGCTTCTTGCATGCCATTGAAGTGGTATTCAGCACTCTTTTGGAGCCAAATATGCACCATAGGGCTTTTATGTCAAATATTTTATTCTAAGTATTTGTGTGCAAGAGATCTTGTCTTTTTCTCCTTATCGCTTTCTTTAGTTTTCCCACTATAATTTATAACACTGTTGTAACTAATATATGATTAATACTTCCAATGTCATAACTTATATGTTAGTATTTTAAAAATCAGATCACTGGATTGTTGGATATACTCCCAACCTATATTTCGGTTACAATAAAAATATATTTCCAAAATAGATTATTCTTGGGAGCATATTTTTATTATAACCTAAAGATTTCTATATTAAGAAAGTTGTGTTTATGATTTACTTTAAAAGAATTTCAGGACATGAAATATTTTCAATTGCCTGATGGAAATGATAATTATTAGGACATTTTAAGAGTGATATTTTTATAAGGTACTCAGCTTGGGCAAATGATTCAGATGATTTTACTGTTTATAGAGTTTGTATCTGTTTCCTCCTGAGCCCTGGATATAATATCTATAATAATAAAGTTAATGGTGGTACATGGCTTCAACACCATAATAGTTCAATTAATACCCAATTACTCTTGAATGTAGTACTGCACTCAGGAAGGAAAGGTATTAGTTTGGGTGGGATGATAACTTCACACAGAACAATCTGACATGACAAGCAGAAAAACTATGTAAGGGAGAGGAAAGAAAATGACAGGAAGTCCCCAGATGACTGACTGAAATGGGGAGGAGCAGAGACAGGAAAAGAATCTGAACAAAAACTTGAGGAAAGAAAAAAATGCACCTCTGAAAAAAATAATCAGAGATCATCTGAGAAAATACTAATGAGACCAATCAAGGATCAGGCAGGCAAAAAAGTAAAAGCATTTTTCCCCAGCAAAATAGTATCTTCTAAAACTGGAACCATGAGGAAATAACAGTAGTAAAATAATATGCATAAAAATGCTAAGGTTGTATTAATGGAGGAGACTTCATATGGAGCTGATAATATGGAAAAAGTACAGACTGGTTCATTTAACATTTTTAAAGGCATTTTTATGGACATAAACCTTCAGTCATGTTGTGGCTTTTGCTATGATCTGGTAACACTAAATAAATCTGTAGTGTGAAGAAGTGTGATATATGAGCTGAATCTTATGTTCTAGTCTGAATGAAATGTTAGTTTATTTTTAAAATTAGTATTTTATTGTTAATAACATTGAATTTGGCATTAGTACGGAGCATTGATACCTAGGTGAAATGTTTTGCTTAGCTCTTCTAAGTTTGTACATTAAATTTTCTATTTGTATACCAGTCACCCATCTAGAAGTTGTACCAGACTTGTCTGTGTGAATAAGATACTGCATTTTCAGAGAAGCTTATTGCAACATACCATCTTGTGTTAGACTTCTCACACTAAAAGTTATATGCTAATAAAAGTATTTTTCCTCAGATGTGATGCTGATCCATCAGCCTTGGCTAACTATGTTGTTGCACTGGTCAAAAAAGACAAGCCAGAAAAAGAACTGAAGGCTTTCTGTGCTGATCAGCTAGATGTATTTCTGCAAAAAGGTACAGTTATGTATATTAATTACATATTATGAATATACATATACTTGTAGGTGTGTGTGGATTTTTTCATTATAACTGAGTTATAAATAATAGTCATAATGACTTACATATTTTATAATAACTTTTAAATATTACTACATTGTTGCTTTTCTTTTAAAATATAATTTTAAAATATATAATTTACCCAAAGACCTTCACTTATTGTGCAGATTTAAAACACACTAAGGGCAAATATATAAATTCCTGCCCCAGAACATCCGGTCCTCATGGGAAACCTATTTACAGATCAGGAACCTACAGACTGGCTCTTTGAGCGAGACAAAGCTGTATATTCTCTCCTTATTTATTTAGCTAAATGATGGATATACTTAAGGGAGTAGGATTGGAAGATTACTATGCTTTGAAATTTGAGGAAGAAACATCAGTAACCTGCACTGTGCTGATGACGCTACTCTGATATCTAAAAATGCAAAGGATCTGCAAGCTCTAGTAATAAAGTTAAGGAGCACAGTGAAAAATGGGACTAAAATTAATTATAAAGAAGACAAAACTAATGACAACAGATGCAACAACCAGCATTAAAATTGATTATGGAGATATCAAGGTAGTGGATATATTCTATTTTTTTAGGATCAACCATCACATGTAAAGGAGCAAGTAAAGGAAAGTGTCGTATTAACACTTTCAAACTTTGTTGTTGGAAAACAAACAAATGGAACATCAAACAAATTAACCCAGAGTTCTCATTCAAGGCAGAAATGACCAATAACAAATTATCCTGTTTGAGGGTACATTAGGCAAAACCTAGCTCTCTGGAGAAGTTCTAAAGGTGAGAAAGATGAAAAGCAAGAGAAGAGGACAACCAACAGTAAGATGGATGCAATCAGTCACAGTGTGATGGGCCCTCAGTTGGAAGACCTGAAGGGCAAAATTAAAAACAGATCATCATGAAGAAAATATATGTGATTGCTAACAGTCAACACCACCTAATGACAGATAATTAATATAAATGTCTTCATTCCACAAAATGTTGGTGCTAAACATAGGGAAATTTGCCCCAGCTGAGTATAGCATGTACTCAGGCTTTGCTAGTCTTAAAAGGCTAATCAAAATTATTATTACTTAGAAGGGAGACTACTAGGAACCCTCAAAAATAAAAATAACTCAAAAGATGGCAATGGCAAAAACATTTCAATGTCATTTTGGCAGATTAGAACATTAAACAATATGCTGTAATTTCACTCAAAAATATTGGTTTTGTTCAGATGCAGCAATCTTTTGCTTCTTATAACAATAGTTCCTCATCAGGCCAAGGCCCATCTTAACTCCAGCATGCAGTAGGCCTAGTTGTCTAAGTTTGGAGAACCTGCTAGGACATAATATGTCAGTGTGCATCTACTTCCTATCTGCAGCTCTAACATGGATGAGCAAGGTAGAAAGAAGCAAGCCACTGCATCTCCACTTCCCAACTTTGGTCCAAACTGAAAACCACCTTACCCAATGCTATACAGGAAGGCCAGTATGATTGTTAAGACTTATTTCCTCCAAAAAAGGTAATCGTCCAGAATAATTTGGGAATTTATAATGAAACTATATGATGTTACATATGCTTTTACTTAAAATAAAATTGGTGGCATTTGATTTTATCCAAGCTTGCCCAAATGCAGGGAAACCTTTGTCAGCATCCTAAAAGCCACAGCTGAAGTCGATAGTGGAAAAAAACTAAAATTTCACAATGTCAGCCATTATATTTTTTTCTCAATAGGCTATAAAGTTAGTGCCTTGAATAAATTATACTGGTTTAAAAATTAAATTTATACCATCATTTTCAGCAGACAGAATGATCTCCCAGTGGATTCTTAATATTGTTTTAAGAATATGACCCTGACATCTGAACAACCATTTTAGGCATAATTGAGGGCAGGGCAAGCATGCAGTATTTAATGTTTCAAATTCAAATAACAGGTCTCAGTTACATCACAATTTATGTTTGAAACAGTGTGGTACGGTAGTGATGCTTCTGTTACTGGAAAACCAAGTTTAAGGTTCTTTCATTTACAGGGGTTGAATTGATTGGGGGGAGGGAGGCAAGTTTAATGCAAAACTAGAAAGTTAGATTCATTAAAACGTGATTAATTTTCTTGCTTGTCTCTCACAGAAACATCGGGTTTTGTTGACAAATTATTTGAAAGCCTATATACTAAGGATTACCTAGTTCCTAATGAACCAGTAAAACCAGATCTGAAGACTAATCAAGGAAAAGAAGAAATCAAAGAGGAGGCAATGGTAAGTTTTTCAATATAATTTCCTTCATACTTAGAGGAGTCCTGTGGAAATCTATTCAGAATTAACCCCAATAATGTTCACTGAACATACTCTAAGGTGGTTGTGCGTAAGTCAAAGCAAATCACTGAGAAAGACCCAGTAAAATGTAATGGGATTCAATCCCAGGTAAATAAAAAAGTATTGCCTTATTCTAGTTTTACTTGATACCCATTTCCCCTAAAATAAGACCCAACCAGAAAATAATCCCTGGCATGATTTTTCAGGGATGCTTGTAATATAAGCCCTACCCCAAAATAAGCCCCAGTTAAGCTTGTCAGCCAGATGGACGCATTTATATATTTCCCCCAAAATAAGACAGAACTGGAAAATAAGTCCTAATGCATCTTTTGGAGCAAAAATTAATATAAGAGCCAGTCTTAATGTCAGGGAAACACGGAATATAGTTTTTCATTTAGTTTTGAAGGACACCTGAATTATTACTGTGTTTCCCCAAAAATGTGACCTAAGTCCTAGCTTGATTTTTTACACATGTACCCAATATAAGCCCTACCCCCCCCCCCAAAAAAAAGCCCTAATTAAGACCTCATTCACTCAAGGGCGCGCAGGTAAAAGTTAAGCTAGGCTGGGGATGGGGGTGGACCTGCCCTACTACTTACCTTCAGATAGTTGCAGCCAGGCCTCTGTAGCCGATAATAGCTCCAGATTGATCCGGAGCTGTTATCAGCTACAAAGGCCTTCAGGAAAACCTTGCTGCCTACAGAAGAAATGGGCCGAGGTGTGCAAGGCCTGGCTACAACTATCTGAAGCCAAAGAAGTTCCTGAAGGCCTCTGCCAGCGAAAAGAAGGCCGGGGGCGACGCACAAAGTGAGGTGAGTCAGTCACATTCCTCTCCCCCCCCCCCCCCCCCCCCAAATAAGACCTGGTACCTTTTTTTGGCGGCAAAAAAAATATAAGATGGTGTAATTTTCAGGGAAACACAGTATATATCAAGGGTCCCAAAACCCAAGGCCATGACCCACCTTCGGGTCTTGAGCTCTTGGGAACCAGGCTATGGAAGTGGTGGGCATGGGCGCATAAGCCCTAGTATGCTACTCCTTACCTATGGCTTAAATATAAGAAAGTTACACTACAATTGGAAGACCTATGCTTCTATTCATATAATTCACTATTCACTAATTTTGATAATGCTGAAAAGAATTGCACGTGAAATAAGTTTCAAAAATTTCTGCTGGAAGCTGCCGAATTGTATTCTGCACTATATTACCCTTTCTGTTGTTAGAACATGGATAGGTAGCCTTCTGCACAAATTATGTAAGGGAGACAAACAAGAACTTATGGAACACCAATCTGAATTGGGAAGACTTGTTTTTTACATATATATAATAAAGGATGCTAGAACTGTGATACTTATTCTGTACTTAGCTAGGCATGTACTATGTTTCCTGAAAGCAGTAGCACTTAAATTTATATACCACTTCAAAGGCTGAATCAACCATTCAGGATTGAATTCATAAAAAAGTTTGTTGGTTATTATTTTTTGCTGAACTGAATTGTTTTCTAATTCCTTTGGGGGGAAATTCAGGAAATCTCTGTAGTAAAAGGGAACATTTTTGAAGAATTCTATAAGGAGCTACTATGATGATGTATTGACGCACTTTATATCTTATTTTTTATAATGGAATGTTTCTTTCACTGAAGATATTCAACCATTTGCTTTCATTTTAATTTGGCTCTTTGAGTCCAGATATTTATCAGGGATGCATAAAAGGTTTCTTGCAAGGACTACCCTATGCATGAAACAGACAATATTGGCTGATTGATATTGGATGAAAACATGTGTTTCTGAGCATTGATGGAGCTTAAATACCTATATTCCAATGTGAAAACCACACAAAAATAAAATAAAATAAAACCAATAGTACTGGTGCTTCCAGCACTAGGAAAAAAAGGGGATAGAAAGATGGGGAAGGTATTGACTAGTCAAGGAAAGCAGTGGGCTAGTTGAATAAAAGAGCAGTGGGCTAGTTGAATAAAAGAACAACTATGATGAAGGAAGAAACTATGAAAGTCAAAGAAATGTGACTGGATAAACCAATTAGGTATGCCATGTTTGAATTTAAATTTAACAATAGGGAATGTAAGACAGGCAGGCTGGCACATAGCATAGAGAAGGAAAGTGAGACATGGGATACCACCCACCTTCTCACATCTTTAAATTTTTCTTGGATAAAACCCATAACATGGCCATGATTTGGCTGAATCAAGACCCTAACTAGAAAAATCAACTCAACCTCTGTGTCAGTCTACTCAGGCACTGTATGCTTGCTTTTATGCAACAAATAAAATAGATTTTTGCAGTTCATGCATACCCCTATGTTGTCTTAACGTCAAAAATAAAATCTGGATGATTCCATTCAAGAATTACATCTAAAAGATAAGATCTTTGGGGAAAACGCACTTATAAGACAAAAAACTAATGTGATACCAAGTAGTTTTCAATGCTGCATTAAATGTGCTTTTATATTTGTATTTTTCATACAGTATTTCATATTTTATTATAGATGCTAAATACTGTGTTAAAGAAGGTTATTCCCATTTCAGAGGTTAGTATGGAATAATGCAAAAATATATTCTTGTCCTGCTTGAATCGCTTCATAGCTTGTATTTTTTTTTATTTAATTACAAGGTCAGAGGCTGCCATTTTAAATATTGTACTTTCATAACACAATGCATATTTTATTTAGGAGTAAATGTAATTGGAAAAATAACATGTGTTGTGTTAAGATTAATGTTTTATTAACTCAGACTATATTACATTTGAGATCTCTGCTATATTTAGATAAGGTCAAGTGAGAGATGATATCTTTGTATCACATAAGTCCTCCACTCATAAATACGCAGTGATTTTTCTGTCTCCTAAATTCTGTTCTTTGCTATCAAATTATTCATCAGGACAACTTCACTTGAATTTAAGAAACATTCTGACATCCTGGGGATAATTTAGAAACAAATTGTCATGGAGAATATTTATGTAGTTGCTAAAAATTGTCACCAATTTGATGGCACGTAATCAAATAATGTTTTGCTTTTTTTCCACAAAAATATTTAGGAAAATATTATACAGTAACTGAATCTTATCTGCTACATATTTTGTGCAGACCATCTGTGTTAGTTCAGAAAGTGCTGTTCTACTTACGAAGATTTACACTCCAAAATCAATTTCCATTGAAAATCTGAAACACTATTTATGACTTTAGTCTTAAAATGGATCTTATAAATTAATAAATTATCTGTTTTCACAATGGGTAATTACTAATTTAAAAACTCTAGTGTGTGTGTTGAAATTTAGAAATTTCACTACACTATGAACAGAAGCAGCGGTACAAAAGCATAAGGGGTTATCTTAAGATACACTTTGGTTTGTGCTAAAAACATTTGAAAGGAACAAGGTAGTGAAAGACTGAATGAAATACAAGTATCTGTTGGATACTTGGATACTGACTTTACCTAAATGAACATGATGATAAAGTGATGAAAATAATTTGGAAGAATATTTTACATAGGTCTTTTGGTTCAAAAATAAAACATAAAGATGCATGCAAATGTTTAGTCAAATGATAAAAGTCCCTAAATAAACTAGTCTTGATATAGTGTCTACATAGTGCAAAGTTAAACATGACATTATTCTGCAAATTTCGGTACACAGTTAATAATAACCATAACAACAGAGTTGAAAGGGACCTTGGAGGTCTTCCAATCCAATCCTCTGCTCAGGCAGGAAACGTATCATTTCAGACAAATGGTTGACCAGTCTCTTCTTAAAAACTTACAGTGTTGGAGCACCTACATCTTCTAGAGACAAGTTGTACCACTGATTAATTGTTCTGTCAGAAAATTTCTCCTTATTATCTACTTGCAAATTTTAAGGTTCAGAATAAGAAAATAATGAATGTAATAGGGTGCAAAGGTTTCCAAATCCTTTTAATCAGCATTCTGCAACACTTCTTTTGGCAGAAATAACAGCTTCCAAACATTTCCTTTAGCCAGCTAGAAGTTTTTTTGTTTTTTCCTAGTCTGGCTTCGTGCTGGTATCTAGCCCAATGCCTTTAGCCACTGCATCAAAGGCTTTTCTTTTTCTTTTGCATTTCTGTCACAAAAGTGCTTTTTTTTTAAAAAAAAAGGTGCTTGAAAAAACAAATGCTTCACTCTTCCAACCCACACCCCAATTGTAGATTACCAAATTGTTCAGTTTTTATTTTAACAAGAAGTTTGAGTGTTTTGGGGTTCTGATTTCCAGATGGGACCAATTTAATAGCAGATTGAGGAGAGATTTTTCTTGAAATTCCCAGTCCCACGTAACTTTCACAGTCTCATTTCAGGTAATCCTTGATTTACATCAGTTAATTTAGTGATAATTTAAAGTTACAGTGGCACTTAGGGACATTTTTCACACAACCTTTGTAGCATCCCCATGACCATGTGATCAAAATTCAGATGCTTGGCAATTGGTTCATACTTGTGACTGTTGCTGTGTCCCAAGGTCATGTGATCACCTTTTAACAAGCAAAATCAATGGGGAAGCTAGATTCACTTAACAACTGTGGCAAGGAAGATCATAAAATGGGGCAAAATTCACTAGCAACCAAAATTTGAGGCGCAATTGTAGTCATAAATCAAGGACTACCTGTATTAAAATTGATGGCTCTTCTCCCTCATAAGAAATCATTTTAATTTGCTTGGAAGAGCCCATAGTTGTTGAAAGTAGACAAGAAAACCATCACAGCCCAAAAAGCTAGAAAGGTCAAAATATTTGTTAACCAGGCTACTGTAGATTCTTTATTGAATGTTGTTCAGTAGATCTGATGTATTTGTCAGAATAAAATAGTGCTGTCTTAATAAGTAAAAAATGAAAATATAAATTTTAAAATCTCCATCTATTTGATTTGTACATTTATATCTCAAGATTTTCAAGGCTAATGCACTTGTTCCATAAGCTAGCAGCAACTTATTCCCGTAAAAACAATAGGTATAATGTAACATTTTTTGAAATTCCTGATCAGAAATTGAGCAAATTAGGACTTGCTATTGTTTTCATAGAGAACTCTAATGTCATGAATCCTTAGTTCCCACTCTTTGCCCTTGTAGTTTTCAAACTTATAACAGTAACCCAAGAAAGAAAAAAAATGGCTTTTTTGTGCCGGGAAAGCATTGTGAGTCAAGATTTCATTGGACCTGTTCCAGGTAGTTGCAGCCTTGCTTATTCCATATTTCAGGCAAGACAAATTCTAGACACTTTTGCAGGATGAATAAGGCAAGGATAGGGCACATTTCTCTTCCTCTGTGGTTGCTTGCTCATTCTAGTAATTCTAGCCCCAGTCCCGTCCTGAAGCTTTCTTTCATTTCTGCTGCCACCATACGTGAATTCAATCACAACACCACTGTACAAAAAGAACCCATGCCCATCCCTTTACCAAGAGTCCTAGCATACTCCTCTTTACTGCTGCTGTCATCACACCTGAATTTCAGGAACATTGGTATGTCTACTCCTCCCCCCCAATCTTCCTTTTCTTCCCTACCTTGCTTCTCCATGTCATTGGTTTGAGTATTGCTATTGTCTTCTATCTCACAACCTTTGTGCCCAGAACATGGTTTTTTTTGTCTATACTCAAACTAAACATGCACGTTCCAGGTTTGGGTCTAAACAGACCACGTGCTGTTTTGTGCACAGAATGGTTCACACACAGGATACTTTATATGTCCTTCTAACCCATTCTGAATTAATACAAGGAATGCTGCAAAAAAAAGTGCTATACATCTATGTACATTTATAGTGATTTCAATGAATGAAATCCATATATAAATTGCTTTATTTATTTATTTTTAATGCTAGCATCTGTTTATTGTCAGTCTGTGTTACTATTATTGCTTTTGTCTCCCATATCATTGGGTTTTATTTCATAATAATTTTCATATTTGTTGTTAGACATTTCAGGAATCTTTTGAAGAAGACCGAGAGAACAAAAAGAAGAAATACACTAGCCCGCAGAAAAATCGTTCAGATTCTAACGAGCAAAGGTTTGTGTTTATTCATCATTGAAAGTATATTTCATCTTCTTTATTCTCAGATGGTCTTGCTATATACTCTGATTGAGTTAAATATGATTCATATGCTGTATTTTATTTGCCCTTGTCACTTGATACATCTGATTGAGTATTACAATCCTTACCAGCACAAGAAACTTTCAGAGAGCATTTGTGTTTAGAACAGTGCATCTAAAAGAGCCTCGGTGGCGCAGTGGTTAGAGTGCAGTACTACAAGCTACTTCTACTGCAATTTATCAGATCGAATCCCACCAGGCTCAAGGTTGACTCAGCCTTCCATCCTTCTGAGGTGGGTAAAATGAGGACCCAAATTGTTGGGGGCAATATGCTGACTCTAAACCACTTTGAGAGGACTGTAGAGCACTATAAAGTGGTATATAAGTCTAAAAGTGCTATTGCTATCTACCAGGTATACTGAACTTCTAGTCATTCTAGTTAGTAGTGAAAATTGATTATATTTGCTATCTCTTTTTTATTCATGATTTTTCTTGAAGCTTAGAGTTCCACACATTTTTTGAAAAAACAAAACACCTTATTGCTACATCTTATTACATTTTAATGCTGTGAATGTTTTAGATTGTTTGAAAATCCTATTCTTCATTTTTTTTGCTTTTGAATTTTAAATAGAACCAGAGAAAGAAAAAGAGATGATGGCAAATGGAGAGACTACGATAGATACTATGATAGGAATGACTTATACAGAGACAAATATGACTGGCGAAGGGGAAGAAGTAAGAGTCGTAGTAAAAGCAGAGGGTTAAGCCGAAGTCGGAGTCGCAGTAGAGGTAAAAGTAAAGACCAAGATCCAAACAAAGACAGGGATGCTGGAAGAAATATTGGTGAGTTGCTATTACACCCAAGTAGGACGTCATGAAAACAGATTTCAAAACATACTTTTAATGGATATGTGTGTGTTCATATATCATCTAATTCTGATAAATAATTAGAATTAATTTTAAAAATTGCTGGTGTCAGCCCCAGACAATAGATCAACGCAGTAAGAGTTCAAGGTGTGACTACTTTATTGCAATTCTACCTGTATTACAGGAATCCCCCCAGACTGCTTTCCTTCCCTTGGAAATAGATAAGGTTCCATGGAGCCTGGGGGAGGGGTCAGTCCTCGACCTCTTGAAACTGTGCAGTGATTCAAGGCTAATTCCCATCTTGAGTCCTCTTCCCAGCCTGGCTGGACATTTTCCAACAGCAGAATTATGTACTGCTCTACAAAGTGCCTTAATGCAGGGAATTATTAAATTTGTATTATTTGAGGTATATTCTAATAGATTGGCACCTTTTGTTATACTTTGCCTACTGTTGCTGTACTGAATTATGCCTCTGCTGAAAGAAGTGGATGCATGTTACTTATTTCTAAATAATCTCTACTCCTATAAATTACATTTATGTTATATGATCAAAATATTATTTTAGAAAAAAAAATACCTTAGTTGAAATAATTGTTGTAAGATCACAGTTTTCTTTTCTGAAAGAAATGTCAGTGAACTCTATGCAGTGAACCTAACTATATACTTTTCCTACTGTCAAAAGTGTGTTTTTAGCAGTATCTGAAGATTTTACTTGAATAATAATAGATTATTATACCGTAATGTTAATTTTTATGCAGAATCATGACACCTCAAAAGAATTGGAAGAGAGTGTAAATTTACCTAAACTTATTTCGAATTTTTAAACAGATCACAGAGAGCGAGCCAAGTTCAAGTGTGAAAGAAGTGACATGGACAGTTCATACAACCCTGTGTCTTTGTCGTCCATAAACTCAGCTGAACAGTATTCCACTGGAGCCCAGTGTATTCCTACTGCTGTCACTGTGATTGCACCAGCTCACCATCCTGAAAACACAACAGAAAGCTGGTCAAATTACTATGGCAATCATTCTGCGCCTAATTCATTTGGCAGGAATGTTCCACCAAAAAGGCGGTGTCGAGATTATGATGGTAACTGAGGCTTCTGCTTGTTCTACTTTCAATTTTTCATGGCATTTTCAAAACTTGATATAAATGAGACTAGCATCGTATAGAACAGTGGTCCCCAATTCCCAGGCCATGGCCTATTCAGAACCGGGCTCCATGAGCGGTGGGCCAATGTGCATGTGTATGCATGTAGCTCAGTTGGTGCAAGCAGCAGGCCAGCATGTCTGTAGCTGGCCCACCGCTCACATGGCCTGGTTTCTCTCTCCACTTCCCCACCCCTGCCAGACCGCCAAGCCACAAAAGTTAGGAACCGCTGATATAGATCATATATACATCTCTTTAATTAATTTCATTCTACTTCGATGATAGTTTTTGTACTTAATTGGGTAAGAAATGCCTATTCCAAGTTCGAGAATTGTAAACAGGCTTAAATCCATGCTTTTTTTTTTCTTTTTGCTGTTACATGTCTCCCTGTAGGCCTAAACTAGACAGCCACTCAAAAGGAGAGTATAAGATGGGATAATGTCTCTCATTTTTCTCATGTTGGTTTGGAGAACACAAATAGGGAGAAATAAAAAGTGCCCCATGTTGCCAATTCTCTCTGCACAGTAGTCTGAACCCATAAATATGCTCTATCTTTCGATATTCATGTCAAATAACATGTTAATGTCTGAAGCTGAATATTATGGAGAAAGACATAGAGTAGGCTAAAAATCCTTTTTTCAGAAGATTATCGTTTGATGTTCTCTCCCCATTAGCTTCTTTCTTTATTCTAGAACGGGTAAGGAAACTTGGCTCTTTTGTCACTTATGGACTTCAACTCCCAGAATTCCTGTGTGAGCCATAAAAGGTTCCCCATCCCTGGCCTACTGGTTTTTCAGTTGTTGGGGGGGGAATCAATTTTTGACTTGAATGGGACTGTTTAATATACAAATGTAGGACCCATTCAAATCAAAAATTGATTTCCCTCACAACTGAAAAACCAGTAGGCCAAGGATGGGGAACCTTTTATGGCTCACTCAGGAATTCTGGGAGTTGAAGTCCATAAGTGATAAAAGAGCCAAGTTTCTCTACCTCTGTTCTAGAAGAATAGTTCCTTTATAAAGAAAAATACTCAAAAGGATTGCAGTTTTAGCAAGGATTTAAGACCGATGCTTATTTTCATGTGAAATGGACCGTGCAATGTCATTGCCCATTGCAATATGTACAAATGCTTTCATTGGTATAAAAAGTCTTTAACAAAACTTCATTTTTTTTGTATAATGAATGAGTACTACACAGGAAAATGAATGTAAGCATTGTAACAGATAATGACTATGTGGCTTCCCCCTCCCCTCCTTTCTTAATAGAACGAGGATTTTGCGTACTTGGTGATCTTTGTCAGTTTGATCATGGAAATGACCCACTAGTTGTAGATGAAGTATCTCTGCCAAGCATGATTCCTTTTCCACCGCCGCCTCCGGGACTTCCTCCACCTGGAATGCTAATGCCCCCAACCCAACGTCCAACCCATAACATGAGAATGCCAGGCCCACATTTACATCCTCGGCCGCCACCACTCATTAGAATCCCCATACCAAGTAAGTTTTTGTTTTTAGGTAAAATAGTCAATTATATGTAATAATAATGATATCGAATGGAAACAATGGAACATAAGTAGAGGCAGTCCTCAACTTACAACCCACAATTGAGACCAGAATTTCCATGGTTAAGCAAAGTGGTGTTTTAAGTGAGTTGTGGCCAATTTTATGACCCTTTTTTTTGCCACAGTTGTAAAAGTGAATCATGCAGTTAAGACGCTGAAACACTGTAACTGTAAGTCAATTACCAAGCACCTGAATTGATCATGTGATCATGAAAACGCTGAAATGGTTAGGAATATTGGTTGCAAAAAAAAAAAAAAATTGGTTCCCTTGTAACTTCAAACAGTCACAAAGAAATGATGATAAATTGAGGACTACCTGCACATTAAAAACTCCAAATGACAGACAGACAATCTATCTCTTAATGATATAAAAGATATCTATCTATATATATCTATTTATATATCTATATATATACATACATATATACATACATACATACATATGTATATATAAAATATTATAAGCCTGCAATGTTACTTTCATAACTATGTAATGTTGCAGCCAAACAAATAAATGATATCTCTTAATTTATATAGAAGTTGAACTCCTACAGATGATACACAGATAAAAGTATGGTGTTGAAGTCTAAGAGAAGAACTTGGAGCTTGATCGATATTTTATATTTATCAAAATCCTGGCTACGTTTTGGGTCAGGGCTGCTACAAAATAATTTCTAAGACATCAAGCACATTATCTGTTCCTAGTAATTAATATGAGGCCAACTAATACTGCTAAAGCAACTAGAAAATTTAAAGCAGAGTCTGAAGATTTGAGAATTAAGCTTAAAAAACTGAGACTCAGGTGAGGAGTCTGTAGATAATGGCTGCAAAGTGCAAAGGGAAAGAATACTGAACCTTTGGAAATGGTTTGGTTTCTAGAACCATGGTCTGACCTATCTGGGTGATGGATTACTTGCTGTCTCAAAAGGATATTATTAGGTTTCCCATTCACTGCAGATACTGTAAGTCACAGTGAGCATGTGTATACAGGTCCTTCTCGAGTTACGATCACAATTGAGCCCAAAATTTGTATTGCTAAGTGAAACATTTGTTCAGTGAGTTTGCCCCATTTTACAACTTTTCTTGCCACTGTTGTTAAGAGAATCATTGCATTAGTTAGGAACACAATTGTTAAGTGAATCTGGATTCCCCATTGACTTTTCTTGTCAGAAGTTTGCAAATGCTGATCATGTGACCTCGGGACATTCCAACCATTATAAATGTGAGCCGCTTGCCATGCATCTGAATTTTGATCATGTGACCATGGGAATGCTGCCACACTCATAAGTGTGAAAAACAGTCATAAGTCATTTTTTTCAGTGATGTTATATCTTTGAAGGCTCATTAAGCGATTAAGTTGAGAACTCCCTATACTGATTTTCTTTGAGTTGTGTTAGGTAGCTAGTTTGGTCCAACATTTGATTTATTTTATGGAGAAAATGAATTAATTCCTATACTCCTACAAATACCTTCCTATATTCATGAAGAGACATCCTGTATAAAAATGGTTTAAATGGCCTGACTACCATTTCTGTTTTATTTCAGGGCCTCCTTCATCTCAATCCAGTTTAATTAATAGCCGTGACCAGCCAGGAACAACTACAGTCCCCAGCCTTGCACCAATGGGGGCAAGGCTACCTCCTCCACTACCCCAAAGCCTACTGTATTCAGTATCAGAACGTAAGAAAATATTATTTTCCATATCTCAAAGAATATATAATGTTTATTAGCTGCAAATAAGAAATGATTGTCTCCCATTTCTCTAATGAGGATTGTGTTTTGCATGACAAAACATAGTTTACATCTCATGAAACAAACTAATCCTTAACATTAACATGGCACAAGTTACTTGAAGGACTGCCTCTCTTTTCATCTGCCTAATTCGGGTTTCGGCAACCCACAGTTCCAGAGCCGCATGCGGCTCTTTGGGCCCTCTGCTGCAGCTCCCTGTCCCATCACTGGCTGTCTCTGCTGCTCGCCCTCCCCTCCCCTCCCTTGCCTGGCCTATGAAGGTAAGGGTGACGGCAGGGGATGGAGAAGCAGGCAGTGCTGATTCTCCAGTGCCTCACTCTTGCTGTAGCTTCTTCCGGCCCTTGTTGGTGCTGGGAGTGCCTCAGTCTCTTGGGGAGACACACAACCTGTTCTCCACGCCAAGACACTGGCCCGACCCAGCCGCGACTGACACCAGCCTCGCTAACACAAGGGCTGGCAGGGTGGGAATGGGATCCGGGAGGACGGGATGATGGAATTGGGGACAGGCCCGCTGCTGCCAACTGCAGCTTTAAGAAGCTCAGGGCAGCAGGAAAAAGGGACTGGCCCCATCAAACCTTGCATGCCCATCCTGGGGGTCAAGCTCAGAGAAAGCCAGAGCACCCTTGCCAAAGATGCTTACCCGTCAGCCAGTCTCCCCTTCTCTCTGTATCTCTCTCTCTCTCTCTCTCTCTCTCTCTCTCTCTCTCTCTCTATGTCTGTGTGTGTGTATCTCTGTCTCTGTGTCTCGTCTCTCCCAAAGCCAAAGCTGGGCCAAGCCAGGGAGCTCACCTTGAGGTTCTTCGCTACTCCTTTTCCTCCTCCTTTTTGGAAATCCGGGCTGGCTGAGGAATGAGTGTGAGCCGCAGCGGAGGCTTCCCTCCTTGTTCTCCTCCTCGTGATCCCCTGGCCAGCTGTGGCGGAGCTGGGAGAATGCGCACAAGCAGGGAGATCCTCAAGCAAGCGGCCTCCCGCCCTGCATTCGCCTTTGCTGCACTCTGGCCGCTTGCTTGAGGGTCTCCCCACTCAAGCGCAGCCTCCCAGTCATAGGAGGAGGAGGGAAGCCTCCACCACGGTTCATGCTTGTTCCTCAACCAGCCCGGATTCCAAAAAGTTGCCAAGAAGAAAGAAATGGAATAACAAGGAACCCCAAAGAGAGCTCACTGGGTTGGGCCAGCCTTAGCTTTCCAAGAGAGAGAGACCCAAAGAGACACAGAGAGAGATACAGAGAGATACATACACAGAGAGAGAGACAGACAGACAGACAGAAACACACAGAGGGAGATGCAGAGATGGGGAGAGAGGAAGATAGGGAGAGACAGGGAGGGAGAGACGGGGAGAGGGAGGGAAGAGAGGGAGAGAGAGACGGGAAGAAAGAGGAAGAGGGGGAGAGAGATACAGAGAGGTGGGAGATAGAGAGGGGGAAGTGAGAGATACAGAGAGAGAGAGTGGGGAGACAAAACCCTTTTGTGTTCCCGGTGTTTTTTAACAACTGATTCTACCAGCTGAGTAGACGTGGCTAGGAGGTCATGTGACTGGGTGAAGTGAGTGACCTTGAGTTGGCCATGCCAACCCAGGTTTTGTGGCTCCCGATGTTTTTTTTTCCCTGTGGGAAACGAGTCCAAATGGCTCTTTGAGTGTTAAAGGTTGCAGACCTCTGGCCTAGTTGATTCAGTCCTGCAAGATTGATCCATCCCAGTTTCTTCACTCAAAGAATGCCATCTCTCAAGACTCTGGAAACAAGGACAATTAGAAGGTGCAGGAAAGGGGGGGGGGAAGCAACTTAATTTTCTTGTCTTGTCTTGTGTGCTTGTAGTATCTCCCATGTTTTCCAGCTGTTTAAGCACCAGGGACTGGTTCCATGAAGAGAGGTTTTTCTGCGGACTAAAGAGGGCTTGGTTTTGTGTGCTGCCTGCATCCCATGGATGGGGCTTCATTTGTTTGCAAGGACTGGTTGCTGGTCCACGGACCGGGGGCTGGGGACCCCTATTCTAGATGGATGCCCTCCTATAGGCATCTTACATAGATCTCAATCTGGGATGTTGATGCAAAAAATTAATGGAATAAGTTGCATTACAGCTCAAAAATGTATCTTGCCTGGCTTTTGAGCTTTAAACGTTTTGCTGAAATAGTTTTTAACTGATGAATGTATTTGTTTTGGTTGATTTGCTTTCATGTTTCAATAGAAAAAAAGTTTCACCTTATAATTGATCGTTAATTTATTTGAGAATGACATTATATGGAAGGCGGGATATTTTATAAATTAAAATTCTTTGTTTTTAAATAAAAAAGGAAATCTCTTATTTCTCTCTCTCTCTTTCTCTCTCTCTCTTCTAATAGATACATATGAACCAGATGGCTATAATCCAGAAGCCCCTAGTATTACTAGTACTGGTAGATCTCAGTATAGACAGTTCTTTTCAAGGACTCCAATGCAGCGTCCAAATCTTATTGGCCTAACATCTGGTGAAATGGACACAAATCCAAGAGGTGTGATCTTTTATATGAAAACATTAAGGGCTTGTAGCCAGATTGTAGGAGAGGCTGAGAAAGAAACGGGAGAAGAATTACTGACAAACAGCTAACACATAGGAGATGATTTGATTAGTAATTCAGTTTATAAATGGTAGCTCAATCTAGACTGAAATGTCTGGGAAGGAGGGATTAAAATATTCAGCCTGTGTTAATGAACTCAATAAATGAGCACTAGAGGTTCCTATCACAGTTCCCAAGTTGTTGTTTTTTTACTTTATCCCTTGCAGTGAAACATTTTATTGAAATGTGTGGTTCTTGTTTCCTGTGTTATGCCAAACATTCTCTCTAAGAAACCATTATAAACTTGTAGTAATTTCAGAAATAATTTGGTACCAGTGAATGGAATGAATAAGTGGTATGCAGTACAGAGTGGATTTTTTTCTCATTAATTTGCTTTTAATGATATTTGTACATTCTACAAGAATATTACATATATGTTCAATTCATATATTTGTATGGATTTATTCAATTTGTGGCTCCTAAACATATAAACTAGAATGCATTTGTTGGCTGAAATCCACTCTCTAAAATTTGGTGGAGTATTTCTAACAAAAATAAGGATGTGAAATGAATTATTGAAAAGCACCCAAACACAAATGAAGGAAGAATAGGGATTGACTTACTGACTGATATTTAGCGGCCACCTGACTCACAGACTCTGAGCAGCTCACAAACAATAAAAGGAAAGGAAAAAAAAAGATGTCATAGAAAAAGACATACAAAATACATTTCTTGTGGTCATAAATGTTTATGTAGACATTTTGCCAATTGACCAACCTGATCGGGAAACAGATTGCTAGTAAGATCAGTAAAATAAACTCAAAAAGAAAAGAATTGACCAATTTGTGAAGCTTTGTTTTAGTAAATTAAATGAACAAGCAATATTTATTTTCAGAGGCATTCTGTGCAAATTTTACTATTGCTACCTATATGCAGTCTCTCTTATAATTGGGATTGTTACCAATTTTACATTGTTGGATTTTCACTCAAATTCTATTTCAGACAGGAAGAATGGCATCTCCAGCAAAAAGATTTCCAATTTTGCATGTTGTTTTATTTTCTGTTATGGAAGATCTGAACAATATAGAACAGGGGTGTCAAACCAGCAGCCTGTGGGGCAGATGCCACGCCCACCTAGCTCTGTGAAGAGAAAAAAGTCATGAAATGTCACGAGTTTGACACCCATGATATAGAAGTTTCAATACTATAGTAGCATTATATATAATTCCTACAGAAGAAATGTATGAGAGCAATGATGTGCTTCAAGTATATTTATCTTTTCTTCTAGCTGCTAATATTATCATACAAACCGAACCTCCAATTGGAATTGCAAGTAACAGCAGTAATGTATCCAGAGTGGTGCTTGAGCCAGACAATAGAAAGAGAATTTTGAACACTATAGAAGGGCCATCTCCAAAGAAACCGTGGATTGGAAAGTAAGGACCTCTGTTGCTAATTAATTACATAATTGAATCAAAATTAGAACTGTGGACCTGGAAATCAGAAATTGTTATGAACATTTTAGCTTAAATAAATTAATGCTTAAACGAGTATATATTGTGTCTATGGAGATTCTCAGTCATCCAGGTCATGGTTGTCCAAAAGGTGCCTTTTGAGGCAACTAGACTTTCTGGTTTTTCTTTGAAGGCGTTTCGCTTCTCATCCAAGAAGCTTCTTCATCTCTGACTGGATGGTGGGGAATGGAAGGATTTATATTCCTGCAGACAGCTAATCAGTTGCATTCTTTTAGAGTCTTTGAGGCCACTTGAAGGTTTGTCTGTGTCCTCAGAGTCACCTGAGTAGTGTGAATGGGTATGGAGCCATTTTGGCTGCAGGATGTTTTCTGTAAAGACTGGGGCAGGCTGTTAGGGATGAGTCTGTGTTGTCTACATCTCAAAATGGAGTGCAAATGGTTCCTGTAGTCAGTTTTTCTGGAAACCATTCATACTCCCATTCCCAAGAAAGCCCAGTTGCCTTCTGAAAAAGCACTTTTGGCATAGGGTATATTAGGTTATACATTACTGTCTATTTCATTTTTATCCCACTTTTTAATGTTTTTATAAATAACAAAAGGTGGTTAAATGTGTAATATTCCTTCTTTCTTCTATTTTCCATTTAATAATCACCACCACTATCCTGTGAGGGCTCTTTGAGGCAGCCAGGCAGCTTTCAGGACTAGAATTCACAGTCTCTTGGTTTCCAAACCAGCACCTTGAGCATTACACTATATTGGTTCTTATTTTAAATTTTAAACATAGCATAACAAACTGCTTGGGAAGCTCTGTAAATCATTTAAATAAATAAAAACTTTTAAAATAATGGGGTTTTTCAGTGAGAGTGCCAAGAAGAGGTAGAAAGCCTGTGGATAGTTCAGCCATACTCTGCTAAATGTAACCTGAATATAGCAAATTCTCTGCTTGCAGTTTTGTCACCACCATATTAGATTTGCTCTGCGAATGCTTTTGGCATTTTAATTCTTATATTAACAGGATTTAAAAATAAAATATTGCTGTTTTGCATAAATTAATTTTTTAAAAGAACGTATGAAGCCTTGTTTTCTTTCTTTTTCCTCAGACAAACTAATAACCAAAATAAGCCAGGATTCCTGAAGAAGAGCCAGTATACGAATACTAAATTGGAAGTTCGTAAAATACCACCAGAGCTGAACAATATTACTCAGTTGAATGAACATTTCAGCAAATTTGGAACAATTGTCAACATTCAGGTAAAATGAAACTTCCTTATGTACATTTCTATACAACAAGAGCTGATGGGTTTAAAATTGCATGGAGATTAGTCTGGGGAAAGTATCTGGAGAAATTTTGCAGCAATACAGACTATTGGCTAAGGAAACAAAGTGCCTTAGGAAATGGTATTCATCCATTTCTCAAACAGCAGGGGACAGACTTTGATCAGTGATGCCATAGTGACACTTCTCATTCTGTATTATATAGTGAAATGGGCAATCTTATGTTAAGAATGGTTGAGTACATTTTTTTTGTAACATGTTCGATGGTGGCACAATTAAATTTATTTCAGCTTGGATAAGAAAAATTACTTTTTCAATGTTTAGGGAAAAAACACGAAAGAAATGATGCTTTGTTATCATAATTGCCAATGTGTTCTGTTGTAAAAACTATCAGTTCTTCACTCAATGTTGCTTGAGTGCTTGTTTTTAGCACTTTTTTTTTGTAAAAAATTTTATTTGGGTTTTCACAAAACACAATCCAAATAAAATACCTTTTCTTGAGAATAACATGATCCCAGGTTATCACTTCTCCATACAGACCTAAACTCAATTTCATATTCATCTTTGTATTCTATTCCATATCTTACTACTATTTTAGCATTTTCTTGGTGATTTTTCCCTTCCCTCAGTTTTCTCAACCTTGTTTTTAATCATCTCAATCCTTTCTAAATTCAATTGTATATCTTTTTCTAAGTTTCAATATCTTTCAAATCATATTTATATTTTTGTCTGTCCTGTTTCAATTTCATATTTTCTTTTCTCTTTAAACAAATTTTCCGCTATAGTTTCTGATTGGAGTATGACACCTTTGTATCTTTTAGTTTTTGTCCGTTCAAATCTTATTTAAACTTCAATTTATACCTTTACAATTATAAGCACATTCTGTGCCACCTTCTGGCATTATATACAAATGGCATCAATTTAGAATTCCTGTACTTCAGTGTCGATGAAAATGCGGATAACAAATGCTTAAATACTGTTGCAAAGAATTTTGTAAAAGTATCTTACCAGAAATGATAGCTCTGAAATAAATTACAACTAGCAATTATGGCTTAGACATTTTGTTGTTATGTAATTAGACTTTGCAGATTAAAAAATGAATTTTTGTTCCTTAGGTTGCCTTTAAGAATGATCCCGAAGCTGCTCTAATTCAGTATTTAACGAACGATGAAGCCAGAAAAGCTATTTCTAGCACAGAGGCAGTGTTGAACAATAGGTTTATACGAGTATTGTGGCACCGGGAAAGCAACGAGCAGCAGCTCTTGCAACAGCAGCAACCGTCACAGCCGCAGCCACCACAGCTGCAGCAGCAGCAGCAGCAACAGCAGCAGCTGCCGCCAACACCACCTCTTCATCAACTGCATATGCAGCCGCAGGTTCTGGCACAGCCTCCACCTGTAACAGTGCACAGCAGTATGCCAAAGGTGTGGTGTTCTACTGTAACTTCAGTTCTTTGATCTTTCCAAATTCGGATCTTTGGGATCTATGATGGTGCAAAAAACAAATGCATAGTAACGTTTTTCTGTTTAATGTGCAGGTGGCTAAACCATTAACTGCAGGTGCCTATGTCTTTAACAAGGTTCCAGTTAAACATCGACTTGGAACAACCAGTGGAAATCAACCAGATTCTCCACATGTATTACTTAACCAGTCCAATGCTACTACAGAGGATGTTCAGGTAAGAGAAGTGGATTGAAGACATTCTGGTCTCAGGACAAAATACTACAAACGTAATCATGCAATACATTAATTACAAGCAATGATATTTTTAAAAAGGCTGCGCAATTATATTGGTTGAAAAACTGACATAACAAAGAGAGATTTAAGGAATGTTTTAAATTAAGATCTTTTTATTTTTAATATTTATTTCCTAATATATTGCTTCTACCTGTACAATTTTAATGGAAAATAAAATATAGATGTTTTAAGGTTTTGTGCTTTTAAAATTATGAATATATTTATATATTCTCCAAACTATGTGAAAAAATTTTTTATTGATTTGTTTGCTTTTCCATAGTTTCTGTGTTGTGTTGGTTATCACATTTTCTGTTTTCAGACTTTTTGATTACTATATGTTGCATCTTAAATTCAAGAGTTTTGTTCCAAGCTTGAAACAAAGCACTGTTTTAACAGTATTATTTTTAGTGTTCTAAACATGCTAAATCCTATGGTTTGGGGGTTTTCTTGTTTACTGTTTTGTTTTTAGTTAAAATTGACTTGTATACTGATTTTGTATATTGAGCTTTGGCAGTTTAAACATTGACTAAAATCAAAAAGGTATTAAATCTTTTGGAGGTGGTTTGCAAAATACAGTACATTGCCATGTTGTGCTTGGGTGGCCTTTTGAGAACAGTTGGCTAGAGGAAGAAGCCTCTCAAGCTTTTAATAAAAGATAGTGTCTAAGATAGTTTTTTATTTTTGTTATTTGATGTCATCATTGAGCTCTGGTGAAGTAAATGCAATTGGTTGTTGATTCCTCCTAAGCAGTGTGGCTGTTGTATTGAAAAAAAGATGATGGATGATCCCTCTTCCTACTTTTGTTAATCTCGAACACAAATAGAGAACATGCATTTGTTTCAAATTCCTATTGCTCTGTATAATAGAAATATCTGAATCTTTTTGAATCCTTAATTTGCTGAAATGGAATACTCAAAGCATTTTTTTTAACGTGTTCCATTGGACTGTTTTTGCCCAAGCATTTTTCCATTTAGTGGACACGTGTACTAAAAGAATTGACATGTTAATATCTATAATTACTTACAATGCATATAAGCTTTGTGAATAATAAATATATATGAACAATGTAAAATTGTATAATTATACAGTGCAATAATAATGCAACCAGATTTTTTCCTTGTGCAACGATATCACTTCCCCACTATCATGGACATAAAAAATATTTCATCAGATTGCTGCAACATACGATGCTTGTTGTCAGTAAGAAGATCAGCAAGCATTCAAAGCATGACAGCAGCAGGACAAGTCCAGAGAAAATCATGTGTTAGAAGACTACAAGGTGGCCATTATTAACCACATCACATTTCCTCCAATCCCGACATCCTGAACTGATGCCATATGGACTGCTCTCCTCAAGCCCATTATCATTTTTGCAAGAATACCTCTTGACACCGTGAGATTAAGTTGTCATTGAACCAACAAGCAGAAAGCATTGAAAAGAAGGTGGCTTACAGAACTGGTATGTGCAGAAGGCCAATAAAAACTGGCAAAAGTCAGTCACTGCAAGGAGAACAGCAAAGAAAACTCATAGAAGTCATAGCCAATCCCTTTGGGGACTAATACGAACTATTGGACACAAAGTGAAGCAGTCTATCGACTAGCAAAATTACATGCCAGGACATGCAATATGAACATTGAGCACTACCTATGGTTTGAAGACAAAATTGGGTAACAACATTAAGATGAATTCAAAATCTGGGAACACTGGCAGCAGTACTTTGATGAAATCTCTAGTATCAAATTTCCATACCCACCAATTTCTTATGGCTCATTTAATGCTAGCCCTGCAAGATATATCTTAAGAGGCTACCAAGGCTATCAACCACATGAAGAATTTGAAAGCCCCTGGCCCAGGCAGTCTGTCATGGTGGCTGGGCCACATAGTTACCCTCTTCAAGAACAAAGATGAGCTAGCAGACTGTTCCAACCACCAACCAATCCACTTCCTGTTGCATACAATGAAAATTTTTGAACAGATCCTCAACCAGCCATGACATCACTGAATTCCATATCAACCAGTGTAGTTTTATCAAAGGTTTGAGTACCACCAACATTATTTTACAGCTTGAATTCTTCAGCATAGAGAAAAGAAGAAACCTGGCTTTTTTTTGACCTGGAAAAGCTTTTGACCATGTTCTGCATCTGCTTTATGTTAATACCAGCAGCCAAGTATTATGCGTGGCCGGCCTTTCTGACAGCTTTCCTGTGACCATTGATGTGCACCAATGCTTAGCATTATTGCCATTGATGTTTATCCTCGTCATGGATATATTCATGCAAAAGGTCTGTGGAGAGTCATCCAGGTCATAGTTTTCCCCAAAGTGCTTTTTCAAGAGGCAACTGGACTTTCCTGTTTTTCTTTGAAGATGTTTCACTTCTCATCTGTGATTCTATTCCTGGCTAAGAAGCAAAACATCTTCAAAGAAAAACAAAAAAGTCCAGTTGCCTCTTGAAAATGCACCTTTGGGACATTCATGCAAAACCTGCAGCACAATGGCCCTGGGCCTTGCTATATATCAATATCCTGCTCATATCTACCACCAGGGAAGAACTGCAGCACGGTATCTAGACACTGAAAATGATCATCTTAACCAATTCCGTTTGCATCTCACTATGAGGATGACCAAATATCTCGAGACCAATCAGAGCACCTCCATTATCCAGGTCAGCAGCAAAGATCTAGTGAGACAAACTCCTTAAGTTACTTAGGATCCTATTTGAAAAGTGATGGTGGCATTAATGAGGTAGTACGTATGCGAAGATGAATGCAACATGGCTGCGGAGAAGGAAGATCACTGCAGGACTCTTCAATAGGCATAGGCCAATTCATCTAAAACTGAAAGAATATAAATTGATGGTCCACTGGTAATGCTTGAATAGTGCCGAATGCCCTTTCCATGACATGGAGGTGTGCATGCTCCATTGGTCATTCGGCATTTCCCTTTTTGACCACATCAGCAATGATAAGTCCGCAGCAGATGAACATTGCACCAATAATACAAAATGTGGGAAAACTGCCTGCAGTGTTTGTGCTACATACTACAAACAACACCCAATATTGTCACCTGCAGTGCTCACAACTTTAACATTGATGGCAAATATCTGCGTAGAAAACCAAAGCAAAGATGGCAGAATGCAATGTGAGATATGAAAGTCATCGGCTTGCACCCGCTGGCTGGATTTGATTGCGTGAAATGGCATTGGTTAATCTGAAAAATGGACTCTATACCTGCAGGAAAACACTAGGTTGAAAAAGATTTGTATAGTGTATTCGTTCACAATTATTAAATTTTAGGGTGTTCTGGTACTTCATATCATTTCTAAATGGAGGAATAGCTTACCTAAATTAGAATAAATAGTTTTACTATAGCCACCAGTTTATCTTCTGTTTCTAAATATGATGACTTTAGCTTTTTTTTAATTTAAACCTACTTCTGATCAAATTTGGATGGATATGCAAAGTAAGTTGCAATTGTCATTGGTATTGTAGTGGCACCAATAGACAATCTAAATTTCAACCTTGCATAATCAGAAAAATACCTTCTGAGGATGTTTGTTTTGATCTTTTAAAATAATTACCATAAATAAATAGTAGCACAAAGTTTAATGGCACCATTAATGTGTTGTCATAATTGCTGCTTTCAGATGTTTCCTTCTTCAACGTCACATACAAAGATGGTTTACAGCTCTTCGAGTATGAAGACAGGAAATAAGTCTGGTACAGGAAATAAATCTCATGATGTCCAAGAAGTTCTTAAAAAGAAACAGGTAACAACATATAATTACAGGGTATTTAATAGCTGTAACCTTTGAATGGAATAGGATGTGCATCAACCACATGAAGAATTGTTTCTTGAAATATTCAGATAGTTCTTTCAGGTTTACTCTTTGGTTGGGAGAATTATGACTGAATATAATATCTGATTTTATAATCTTATCCAAACACTGTAAAGTCTGCCACTGTTCCTTGGCATTTGAAGTCCACAGAAGATCATCATCTCATAAGAAAGAAGAAGCTTGGGTTTCAAACTCAGTCAGAGTAATTAAAAAAAATACATTAATTCAACATTGAAGGATTACAGTTGTAGGAAAGTGAGAGACGACTAGAGCACTGTTTGCCACATTGAGGCACATTACAGGGTAGTTTGAATATAAACCTGAAGCTATTTATAGATATTCTTTGTTGACATGTAGGATGAAGGTCAGTAGGAGCAGCTTTCCACAAGACATGAATCCCAATCTGCATTTGAATTATTTGAAACCAAACCTTGGTTGTATCAGTGGTGAAAAATAATTACTGTTTTACAAGGAATTACAATGCTGCAGAAGAAAATAGCATAATCCAAATGACAATGTTTTGGATCATCTAAAGCAGCGGTCGCCAACCGGAGGGCTGCGAGAAAATTTTGATGGGCCACAAAGAAATCTCACCCCAGAGCACCCCTCCCCCAAAGCAATTAATCCAGGCTGCGCAGAAACACAAGGCTGTACCGCCCACACGGCCCGCGGGAACCCTCCCTGCCCACTCACTCCTTACCCAGCAAACTGGCCTGCTAAATTCCTTTTTTTCCTTTTTCCGACCATCATCTGTTCTGCTGTCCTGGGAGATTTAGATTAGCTAGGAAGCAGGAAATGGTTGGATTTCTTGCTTTCTAGCTAGTCTTTAGATCTTCGGCTCTGCTTTTAAGCACAGCGGAACCTCCCTTAGGACTGAAGGTTCTATTATTCAGTGCAGACTCACGGCAAGCAAATTTGAGAGATTGGGCTAGTCGATGGCAGATAGATCACTGAATGATTCTGTGAGCAACTCAATCTGCTTTGCCTGCTCTTTTTTATAAAAAAAAATCAATATTTACATACATGGTGTGTTGTGAGTTAATTTTGTGAGTTTGCTTGCTAGCAAATTTTATGAGTTTGCTTGTAAACAAATTTTATGTGACAGACTGAGCTAGCCAATGGCAGATAGATAGATCTCTGAATGAATCTGTGATTCTGTGAGCAACTCAACCTGCCTGCCTGCTTGCCTGATTTTGGGTAAAAGTTGCTCTTTTTTTATAAAAAATTCAATATTTATATAAATATTTACAATATTTACATGCAAGCCATGACCGCCCAGTCACATGACCACTAAGCCATGCCCAAAAATTAGGCCACACCCACAGAACCAGCTAATAGTCCCTGGGATTTAAAATTATGAGTTTGGTGGTCCCTGAGGTCCAAAAGGTTGGCGACCCCTGATCTAAAGATAAGATTTATATTTCTTTATTGTATATAAGTAAGGTCAACCATTTTTACTTTAATGTTTTTTTTCTTGGTAGGAGGCAATGAAATTGCAACAAGACATGAGAAAGAAACAGCAGGAAATGTTGGAGAAACAAATAGAATGTCAAAAGGTATGACTGAATTGTTTAACATTAACTTCTAAGTTTAAAGTTTGTACATAACTTGTAAACATATTTAATGGATTGTGTGTAAAATCTTTTCAGAATAGCATGGTATTTTTATTTTGACTTTCATAGATGCTAATATCAAAATTGGAAAAGAATAAAACCATGAAACCAGAAGAAAGAGCAGAGATAATGAAGACTCTGAAAGAGCTAACAGGAAAAATTTCTCAGTTAAAAGATGAATTAAAAACTTCCTCTGTTGTTTCTACAACATCAAAGCTAAAGTCTAAAACTGAAGTAAGTTATACAATTGTTTTAACATGTTTCTATTTTAAAATATGCAGTTGATGCAATGCCTATGGCTAAGAAGTAGCTTTTGCTTACAAACTATTACATGAATTTAGGCATTTATAAAAGGTGCTACTTCTTTCAATATTTTAATTTTGTTATATATCTTTCATATTTCTTTTCATTGTTCAGTCAAAACTGAAATCTTCAGATTTTTATCTAAGACCACTAATTACCCAAGACATTTTATGTGGTCTGAATCAGCACTGTATTAGTATTACATCCATTCTTTTGGTTATATCTCTTAACATAGATTTATTTAGTTTTTGCTATTTTGCACATTTTGGAATTCCCCCCTCCCAAATCCCATAAGATACAACTTATCATGATGTTTTCCCTAGAATATTGAGAAATTGAAACCTAAGTGATAATGTATAAAAATGTAGAAGAAAATAAATGAATTCTTTGCTACCACTTCTCTCCTTTCAAAGGCACAAAAAGAACTCTTAGATGCAGAATTGGACTTACATAAAAGATTGTCTTCTGGGGAAGATACAACTGAACTGAGAAAAAAACTTAGTCAATTACAGGTGGAGGTAAGTTTGTAGAGTAGAGTGCTATCTTGATTCTGGTGTTAGGTATCCACAATATCCACAAACAATTGACGTATATTCCTTTTGCCCAGGCGGCTCGTTTAGGAATCCTACCTGTTGGTCGGGGAAAAGCGATGTCAGCTCAAACTAGAGGAAGAGGAAGAGGTCGTGGAGGGAGAGGAAGAGGTATTTTGAATCACATGGTAGTGGACCACCGCCCCAAAGCACTAACAATTGGAGGCTTTGTGGAAGAAGAGAAAGATGAAGTGCTGCAACATTTCTCAGTAAGTTAGCAGTTTGTAACTAAAACTAAATATACTTCAGTTTCTGTGCAGTGTTCTAGAATAATATAAAGACATGAGTGTCCTAAAAGTGAACTAACTTCACTTCAATTACAGCTGCAGGCATTGTTTTAGTACTTATCTGTACTTAATCATTTGACCATATGTTGTTCAGTATATTTTTTTAATATCCGTAAGTGGAACTGTTAACTGGACAATCTTGCCGATGTTTGTTAGTTATGGAATTAATGTAACTTTCACTGCCTTTACACTCCAGTGAATGTGCCTAACTATCAACATCAGTTTGCTTTAATGCTGGAGGTTAATACCAACTAATTATCACAGATTTGATTCTTTACAGACAATTAAGTGATTTTTTTTTTACCAACTACAAATAGCAATTTGATAAACAGTTTTTGTCTGAACCACCACTTTCTCTTTCATTGCTTAAAATTTCTCAAAAACAAGGACATAGTTGAAAAGCATTTCTAAATGTAAAATAAGTATCACATCAATTATATAAATAAATATTTATTTCTTAATTTGAGTTTCAAAGATACTATAATTTAGAAACTCTGGCTAAAACATTATATGTGCCTGATGAAGAATGTGCTCCATTAAACACCACAGAAATTCTTTTAAAATAAAATACACATAGGATCAGATTTGCAACCAAAATGATGATGTTTTTTGAAAAACATCTTCTCATGCTATCACCCTGGCATTAGTTTATGAGCAATTATGTATACTTTTCTTATATATTTGGGGACTAAAATGGTTCCTAAAACACTAAGAAAAAAGATTGTTGTCCAAGAACATGAATTTTATTGAGAAAGATCAAAGGCTTCTCTATAGCAAATTCTTATAGCAAAGCCAAAGGTTTTCTAAATGTCTTGGTCTACATCTCCCATTGACCATCTTAAGTTTGAACCAGTGATTAGAAATTTAAGGTCCAAACATTTGGAAGGCATCAGGTTGTCTATGTATAATCACTAACAATACATTGATCGTTATTTTTTTTAGCAGTGAAAGAAAGTAAATCTCAATCTTTTGTGTTTTCAGCAATTTGGAGATATTGAAGGCCTTCAAGAGGAGGAATCTCCTTTAAGTGTTGTTTTGACATTTAAATCCCGCTCTGAAGCTGAAAACGTATGTAAACATGGTTTAAATTTTTAAGGAATGTTTTACGACTCTCTATATCCAGTTTTTTTAAGGCAAACATATTCTGTAATTGAAAGTACCAGCAAATATATACTGGTTTCAGATGAACTATTTTCAGGCATTAAATGTTTAAATCTTGTTGCTCTGTTTAAACGGATAAGCCAGTTACTAATATTTAACTTAAATTATCAGAAAAGAATTTAGATTTGCTCATATGGAAAGTGATGATTATACAATGCAAAGAGTTTTGATCAATCACTGTAGAGTTAATAGAGATCTTTCTGACATGCTGTATAGCCATTGATTTATCCTAGTATATAACACACATTGTTTTCTTACTTAAATATTCCATTTTAGGCTGCCAATCAAGGTTTAAAGTTTAAAGACCGACGACTTCAGATATCATGGCATAAACCTAAATTACCCTCTGTGTCTACAGAAACTGAGGAGGAAGAGCCCAAGGAAGAGGTATTAGAATAATGTTTGAATAGCTTGTCCTTTAAAATTTCTTTAAAACTAGCTGGTTTTGCTGTACACAGCAGCAACATGAACTGATGGTCAATCTGCTCTGGTCAATAGGAATTCCATTTTGCTCATCAGAAAACTATGAAAACTCATCAGATCACACTATGAAGACTGTACTTGATGCTGAAACAACAAGCTAGTGGGCCTATTATGCTGCCCAATCATTTCTCTTGCCAAACCTGCTGAATTTTTTTTTTTTCAGATATGCTTTTGATCCCAGAACAATGATCCTGGTAGACTTCAGTATTCATCCTGAGAAGCCCTCAGGGAAACATATAGTATGACAGTTATAAGTCTATCTTGAGCTGTCATCAGATTCAGTAATAGAGAGATGCATATCTTTGATTTAGTTTTGCTTCAAGTCATGAAGAGGTTACGTTGGAAGGGAAATTTCAGTTCTCATGGCCAATGTCTGGTAAAGTTCACCATTGCTTTTCTATCATCTGTTGATCACTTAAGGTTGTCTCCCATTGAGACCTAGGGAATTTGATGGGTTTGTAAACATTTGAAAAAAAAAAATTCAGAAAACAAATCCAATATTTCTTTCAAGACCTTATTGACATTAGGAATGGGAAATATCAGTGTATCGTTTGTACAGTCACCCTCAAATGTTTCTCCAATATTTTGGCATCTGAGCTTCTTGGATTTCTGGGGACCTCTCAATAATGAATTAAACTGGAAGGTGGCAAGAATGCAAATAGTGTAATTAAGAGGCAATTAAGCATGAATTAATGCATATAATCATATCTGCCTTGTGGCTTTTGTTACATTCTCAAATGACCATATAGTGGAGCTCTTTAAAATATTTAAGGTTTATGGACAAGTTGGTTCTAACTCTTGGGTTTTCCACATATTGTCCAGATTTTTTAGCTTCCTTTGCTTATATAGGTTAACTGAAAAGAGTTGATAGAATAAATAATGGATATTGTCATGTATTCTTCCATGTTGGAATGATACTGCCAGCCTTAAGAAAGCAAACTCATTCCTGTAGTAATCTCCATGGATTCAAATGGTCTTGTCAACGTTATTTATTGTTATTGTGTTTTTTCCGTCTGAGTTTACGCCTGGTTTGAGAACACAGAATAAGCAATATGTTCACTATTTTATAACATGACAAATGGAATACAGCTCTGTTGATCCTGCTTGGACATCTCTGGTTTCTTTGACATGTGAAAGGAGAGTACTAGGATTAATTAGCATATGTTAGTCTAGCCATAAGCCATTGTTCTGTTCTCCATGGGATTTAACATCAATGTGAAACTGCTGGAATGATCATCAGGAATTTCTAGCAGCAAGGTTACTAAGCAAAGATTGTGCATGTGTTAGAACCCTATTGACGTAACTGCCTTGGTTGCCAATTGGCTATTGAACTAGAACGCCTTAAGAGGGTATCTGACATTACAGATAGTAACCATTGCCATTACAGATAGTTCAAAAATCCTTGTGGGGATGTCTTGAAGAATTGAATGCCATTTTGTGGTTCCTGACAATTAGGAGTTTTCTGTAGTATCTATGGAGATTCTCAGTTGTCCCAAAAGTGCTTTTTCAAGAGGCAACTGGACTTCCTTGAAGACATTTCGCTTCTCATCCAAGAAGGTTCTTCAGTTTCTTCACAGCTGAAGAAGTCCAGTTGTCACTTGAAAAAGCACCTTTGGGACTTCTTTGTGGTGGTGCCTCTGGGGATAATTAGGAGGAATATTATGTACATCACCCTGAACAAAAACAGAATATAAAGCAAATCAGTAGATGCATTCATGAGGCACCTACAGGTACATCTACATATTTCAGCCACCTATTGAAGATTGTCTCTTCATCATGCCTTCCCTCTACAAATATTGTTTGCATAGCTCTCTTTTACTTTTATTATCTTTCTGCCGTCAACTTTGTAATGAATGCTATTTTATGTTTTAATTTATGTTTCTGCATTTTCATTATTCTGTTGTAAATTATGCTGAATTTTAAACTAACGCAATGTGATATGTACATGTACTGCTAATAATAATATTTGCATACAAACATTTTAATGCTAATACTTTGAAAGGCATCAATTGATAGCAAATATTTTTTAAAAAAAATTAGTAGACTGTGTTTTATTATGAAATATTCCTGATCTATAATTTGCTAATATTATAAGTAAAGCTACTTGAAATGAGTTAGTCCAAAGAGGAAACCAAAACCTATAAACACTACCTTTATTTGTAAGGTTACTGTAGCAGAATCTTTCAAGTCTAAGAGTACTTCTTCCCTTCTGACATGTTATCTCACCCTCATTCCTTCTGTGGGCTGAGGTATCTCCTGTCTGGCCATTCTCCAGGCTGCTGTTCTTCCTCCTTTGTCCTTTCTGCCAAGGTTATTCTCACAGCCCATTACAGGATGAATCAAGCATTAGACAAGTATTTCTTTAAAAAATGTTTTACTTGTACTCTTTCCAGAATGAGATGGTGATCTCTAAATTTGATAAATAAATATAATTAATTGATTTCATAGTATTCAGTATTGCTGCCATTTCACAGCTAGAATTTTTGTTAGTATTTCTTTGCATGGTTGATTCCAAAGTGGCTAGATTTCTCTGGAGATCATTCCAAGAAGAAATGTATTTTACAGTCCTTATGAAAGACTAAAATCACTATAATTTTATAACCACATTAAATTTTATCTTTCTTTAGGAGACAGAAACATCAGATTTATTTCTACCTGAAGATGATGATGATGAAGATGAAGATGAAGATGAATCCCGCTCTTGGAGAAGATGAAACTTCAAGAGGAAGCATATAATTTTTGAATTGTTCGAACTCAAATTTTTAAAAAAATATTTAAAGGAAATCCATGAGCCAAAAATCTGTTTTTGTTTTTTGTTTTTTATAAATATATACATTAAGATAACAAATGTGTTTGATATGTAAACTTAGCAAGCAAGTAGCTATGATCAGCCAAAGGCCCAGAGCTTCTACAAAGCTGTAAAAATGGTTGTGATCTTATAAAAGTGAAATATATCAGTCCTTCAAGCCCAACCTTTGTTCATTCTGATTTTAAAGTATCAATTTGTTTTATTAAATATTAATGACTTCATAGTTAATTTAGAATTCCTTTCATTGGATGGCAGGCAGCTTAAGTAAATCTCGACTGAAAAACAATCAGGAATTGCACATATGTTTGTGAACAAGCTGTTTTTCATATATTCCACTATTTGAAATATGGTTATCAGAATAATAATAGCATTGGTGATAGTGATTTCTTTATTTCTTTCCCATCTTTAAACATTTTAATTGCCATTAGGAATGCACCTAACCAACTACTTCTGCTCTGATTTCACATTTTAGTTCAGTGGAACGTATCGGCCTTAAAATCTATTTAAAATGACAACAGCAGGAATATTTTTAACAGTATTGGTAATGTGAAATTTCTTGTTTTGAAAATGCCCTATCTATAGAACTCGCTTCAGGGTAATTAATAGCTGCATTTTATTTTTTAAGGAAAAGCCAATGCACTGTTCCAAGTAATATATTTCCTGCAACCCACAGAATTGCAAATCAAAAACAATCTTGATTTAAAATAATAGATACTAAGCCAGCACTTAGAATAATATTGTAGGTTCATGTTATAACACATTAAAAATTAACGTTGAGTTGAGGAAAAAAAGTAAAACACTGATTTAAGCATTTTTTATCTGTATGCTGATAAAAATGTGTCTAGTCTTCCCCCTTTTTTAAAAAAACACCGAATACCGGTGGTTCATGGTGTAGATTTGGTAGAGTTTGTTACTTTTTTTTTTACTGCAAGGGCAATAGATCTTTATAACCCATGTCTCTTGCTGCTATTAAATATAAATATGTCCTCCAGCGAGTCATCTCTTAGTGCTTTTGTACGCTGTGTCTCATAGTCAGCAGTGAGGAAGTGTAGCTGTCTGATACAGCTCCCAGATATAGGACATGCTGACTGTGACTTTAAGGAGAGCAGTTTAGAAATACTTGAAGGGCCATTGTTATCCCCATCCTAGCCATAGGTCAGAGCAGCAGGTTATGCAAGGAGCATATGATGTCACTGCATTTAAGTTAAGATTGATGAAGCAAGGCAAACATTACTATTATCAATTCCCATGATACCTCTGCATTCATTAATTCAAAAATTTAATTGTATCTTTCAGGTTTTTTACATTCAGATTAGCATAGTGGTACTTGAATCTAAATGACCGAACACCCTAATTAGGTTTCAAGTTTCGGGTCTTGCTACCAGAACTTTTTTTTTCCCTTCCTCCCATTTTGGGAACTATGTACATTGTTATAAAAGCACATCCCATTTGAATTCCATCCATAAGTGAATAAGAGAGGATGCCACCAGCTCTTATTTGCCCTTTATGTAAAGGCCTTTGTGTTCTAGATTATTGCTACATTCCTACTAATGTTGAATCTCAGTGAATTAAGTTATGACAATAAAGCACGAATATTGCACATTCTTTAACAGGCAAAGCCTTGCTTTTCTCCCGTTGCCTGTGATATCTTTAGAATGCTTATGGCTCAGTATGTAGCCATCACATATATTGACCCAGCAAGAAAAACGCTTGAATCTGGACAGTTAGTTAATAATAGAGGGAACAAAGGGTTTATGTATACATATATAGAGATACATATACATACATACATACATACATACATACATAATATGTGTGTGTGTGTGTGTGTGTGTGTATATATATATATATTTCTTTTTATATATATATATATATATATATATATATATATATATATATATGCGTGTGTGTATGTATTTATATATGTATATATATATAT